AAGGACAGCAGAGATTTAATCTGGACCTTCTAAGTCTCCACTTTCTCCAAAAGGCCTTTGGACTCCCATGAATCACCCAAGTCCCTTCGGCTGTCTGGAGAGGGCTTCAGAGGGCTGGGAGTGTGCCCTCCGAAGGTCCTCTCCATCCAGCCGGGCCGCGTCCCAGGCTCTCAGGAAGGTCCCAGCCGCCCGGGGTGTTTCCCAAATTGCCAAGGAAGGAGAGGCTGGAGCAAGCGACAGAAGCACATGGTGCACCCAACTGTCCAGCCCTGTCTTTCACGGGGACATCAGCCCCTCGACCAGCAGTTCTCAAAGTGAGGTCCCCAGAACCCTGGGAGACTCGAAGGCTAAATAATACTAACATATTTCCCTTTTTCACTGCTTTGACATTCGCAATGGTGGTGAAAAGGCAATGGTGGGTAAAACTGCTGACACTATAAAAGGCAGTGCCACCAAAGTGTACTAGTAATTATGGCATTTTTCACCACCAGGCACTCTGAGCTTCTTTTCAGAGCCAGTTTTCCTTAAAAATAATATTAATTTTATTAAATCAACTCAAGTATTTTTTAATATTCTATATGATGAAATGGGAAGTATGATAAAGCACTTCTACTGTATAACAAATTATGATCATTGTCTCAAGAAAAATCACTGTGCAATTGAGTCATAGACTAACCTAGCTGCTTTTGTCCTGAAACATTTATGCTTAAAAGAACAAACTATGGCTATTCAGAATTGGATATTTGGCAGACATTTTCTAGAAAATGAATGAAGGAGTCTGTACTTCAAAGAACACAACTGATGATATTTGTTTTCAATGACAAAATTGAAACTTTCAAGCACAAGTTAAAATTTGGGGGAACTTGGCCGGGCGCGGTGGCTCACGCCTGTAATCCTAGCTCTTGGGAGGCCGAGGCGGGCGGATTGCTCAAGGTCAGGAGTTCAAAAACCAGCTGAAGCAGAGCGAGACCCCGTCTCTACTATAAATAGAAAGAAATTAATTGGCCAACTGATATATATATAAAAATAATTAGCCGGGCATGGTGGCTCATGCCTGTAGTCCCAGCTACTCGGAGGCTGAGGCAGAAGGATCGCTGAGCCAGGAGTTTGAGGTTGCTGTGAAGCTAGGCTGACCCACGGCACTCTCCTAGCCTGGACAACAAGTGAGACTCTGTCTCAAAAAAAAAAAAAAAAAAAAAAAAATTTGGGGGAACTTGTGTTTACTGCCATGAGCTTGACAGCTTGTCAATAATTAAAGGCTTTTCTAATGAGACCAGTTGAGATATTAACAAATGTGATTTTTTAATATTACATACTGAAAGGTGTCAATATTTGGAAGATGATCACAACTCAGTGAACCAATATTTTCCAAAGGATTGATCGATGCAAGACACTACAGAATCATGCACTGGTTAGAGATCCATTCAAAGTTCAAGAGAGGCCAACAGATTATAGTGTAACAAAGTATGAAAAGTTTATTGATGCAGTCTCAGGCTCCACACTGCAACAAGCCTTTAATAAACTGACTCTAGTAGAGTTTGGGTTTAGTGTCAAAGAAGAATGTTCATAATTATCTGAAAAAGCTACTAAAATATTCCTCCTGTTTCCAACTATATATCTTTATGAGGCTGAATTTTCTTGGTATAGTTCTCCAATGAAAACAACATATCTCGATGCAATGACCCAGAAGCAAAGACGTTGATACAGCTGACATCGGTCAAGCCAGTCATTAAAGAGCAAAATTATAAACAGTATACTCTTCTCATTATTTACTTTTCTGGGAAATATAATTATTTTTCATAAAATAGCTATTTGTGTTAATTTCTTAATTTTAATTTCTAATGTGGTAAATGTCAATAGATAGAATCCTTGTAAACAAAAACACTTTGGGTTCCTGAATAATTTTTTAAGAATATAGGCTGGGTGCTGTGGCTCACTCCTGTAATCCTAGCACTCTGGGAGGCCGAGGCGGGAGGATTGTTTGGGCTGAGGAGTTGGAGACCAGCCTGAGTAAGAGCAAGACCCCATCTCTACTAAAAATAGAAAGAAATTAATTGGCCAACTAAAAATATATAGAAAAAGTTAGCCGGGCATTGTGGCTGATGCCTGTAGTCCCAGCTACTTAGGAGGCTGAGGCAGGAGGATTGCTTGAGCCCAGAAGTTTGAGGTTGCTGTGAGCTAGGCTGACGCCACAGCACTCACTCTAGCCCAGACAACAGAATAAGACTCTGTCTCAAAAAAAAAAAAAAGAATATTTTATAAGATAGTGCTGTCAGATTTAGCAAATAAAAATGTAAGAAGCCCAGTTAAACTTGAATTTTGGGTAAACAATGAATGACATTCTAGTATAATATACTCCATGCAATATTTGGGACATTTTTATACTAAAAAATTACTGCTTATCTGAAGTTCATATTTAATTTAATATCATGTATTTTATCAGCCTGTTAAAATGTCTGGAGTTCAAAAAATTTGGGAAACACTGCCCAGGATCATATCCCTCCCACATGTGCCGAGACACTAATGCAAACATTTACCGGTACCTGCTGTGGTGCTAAATTGAAGACACACACAGTCTTCTCCAAAGTCCTATGTGCCAAGTACGATTATGATCCCTATCTCCTCATACAAATGAGGGAAAAGAAACCCAAAAGAGTCAAATGAAGCTAATCATTGGTGGAAGGCAAGACTGGAACCCACCACTCAGCTCATAACTATTAATATTAGGTTTACACTGAATTCTGAATAAACAAGATTCCTAAAGACAGATGGCTTCTCTGCATATTTGCATCTCAAATTTTAGTACATCAATTTCTGTTGCTCTTCTCTCTCTTTCTGTCTCGTCTGCTATCAGAGCAAAGATGGGAGCCGACGCTGTGAGTCAGCGTGTGCCAGAGACTTCCGTGCACAACTGCCGTCCATCCGCATCAGGGCTCGAGCAGACTTTCCGAACGGATCTTTCCTGGGCACGACAAACAGTATTGTGCCAGGCTGGGAATTCCAGAATGGAGCAGGAGTGCACAGACACTGCTCATTACTATTTATTAATAGTAATTGAAATGCACTGGAGGCTGGTGCTGCACTAGAATCATCCTTGAGAGTAAGTTGGGAATTTCTCCAAATGAATCTGCACTAACCGAAGCAAATGTAACTAAGTAAGCCAAGGTCCTATTTTTTGAATGACCATGACCCTGGTGATTGGGCATGTTTAATGAGCTCCGGCTCAGTGTTAGGGAAAGTGAATGTTTTGATGACCCAGCATGGGGACAAGGCTATATACTCCACTGTGCCACATGATATGCAAATACAAAAACGAATCTGCTTGCAGCCAACTAAGGGGCCTCCCCCAGTTGCCAATTGCTGTGCTGGAATGTGGAAAGTATTAAACATAAGGGAGAGATACTAGTCTTTTATATTGCAAAGATTTTTTAAGAGGGGAAGGGAGAGGGAGAGAGGTAGTGTAGCAGAAGGAGAGGGAGAGAGTGCTGGAAAAATTTTTTTAACAAAGAGAAGATTTACCTTTCAGATATTTTTTGTTTTGTAAATTTGGATTTTTATTAGAGGTGAGGCACACTGGATTATGCTAAGAGCAGTTGTGTATACAGAAGCCAGAAACAATAGAACATTGAAAATTAGCCTAGAGGAAAGAATGGGACAAGGAGAGAAGAAAAAAGCATAGATTAGGAGGAAAACGTTGCCAAAACTGGAGCTAGACAATTAAGAAGAGGTGCATTTTAGAAGCCAAGATTTGGTGAAAACCTAGACAAAGGCAGAAAGAAGGTTAGGGGAACCCTGAGGGCCCTGAATCCCTGGCCAACGGGTAAGAGTCCTTAAGAGCAACTGTCAGCTTTGCAGTTTGCCTGGGGCCCACCTGGCAGTGCTATTATCTGTGTACACTGGCCCAGCCCTGCCCTGGGCCCTGAAGGTTGGATCCTGCTGCCCCAGGTTGGTGGCTTTATCTGCCCACTCAATCTAGATCCCTCAAGTGCTGAAAGGAGAGACAGCAAGAACAAAAAGAAAAAGGACAGATTGAAATGCAAGCATGGGCCTTCACGACCAGAGGTTGGCCCCTTCGTGGGGCCTTCAGAATTGACTCCTGTGAGTGCGAATGGCAAAGAGGACACAGTCAGCTCCTGTGACTCATCAAATTCCTAAAGCCAAGACCAGAACACACAGACTCTCGGTCTAACTCGCCTTCAGCCTTCCAAACACAGAGCCCTGCTTGCCTCACGGTATTCGGTATTCGGTACAAAGGTGACTGAGGAGTGTCCCCGCCTCCTCCCCACCAGCCTGACTGTCTCCCTCCACCTACCGGGTTCTGTAAAGCACAGAGCACACGGAGTTTTATTCCACCGTGTGAGTCACGGGCCCTTATAACACTTAAGAAAACAATTTGTCTTAAAAACTGGTTGGGTCTGTACATGAACGTCCCTTAGTACAGGGGATGGCAAACTTTTTCTGCCCAGAGCCACATGGTAAATATTATATGCTTTGCAGGCCATTAGTTTCTGTTACATGTTTTCCTTTTTCATGCACTCTTTTTTTCCTTCTTGTCTTTTTCTTTGTTGCAACACTTTAAAAATGTAAAAACCATTGCTAAGGGGCCACATAAAAACAGGTGACCCACCACAGTTTGCTGATCCCTCCCTTAGAACAGCAGCAAAAGGTGGACAGCAATCACTGGTGAATGGTGAACTCTGTCCACAGTGGGAGGGAAGGCAGTGCAAAACATCAGTGGTGTTGCATTGCCTTCTCTCTGACAAAGCTGCCTAACTCTCCGTCCGACTTGCCTCAAATCTGACACTGTCTACTGTGGGGCTGTCTTGCCTTTGCTATGATCTCCTCAAAGAATTCAGCTGTAGCTCTGGCAGAGAACTAAACCCTGAGATGTTAGTCTTATACATTTGGAAAATTAGATGAATGAGGCTTAAAATAAGCTGGCATATTTTTTAACCTGCTACTTGTCATTTTGAGTGTATGTGTGTGTACATTTTTAGTTAAAAGTGAATACTCCCTATGTATCACAAATTTCCAAGCCTGGAAAAATCCTCTGATATAGCCCAGTTGTTTATACTTGAGGAAACTTTGATCTACTTCAGTTAAATGAGATATTCTAAGTCACATGCTAATTGGTAGAAGAGCTGAGACCCAACACTCAGTTTCCTATTTCCAAATGCATTCTCTTTCTTTATAGCACACTGCCAATTTAGTGCTAAAAACATTCAATTCAACAAATACTTATAAAGTATTTCTTACATACCCAGCACTGGCTGGGTATCCTAGGGTTATGAAATAAATGTAAGCGAGCCTAACTGCCCATAAAATCCTATCGGTCTCACTGAGAAAATAAGGTACATGCACATGAAACATACACATTCCGTCTTACATTGTTATGTAACTGTATGTCTGAAACAGGGCTAACACAACTCTCTGCAATGGTGGAATAGTTCTGTATCTTTGCTGGTCAGTGTGGTCACCGAGCACGTGAAATGTGGACCGTGTGTCTAGGAAGCTGAGCACTGTAAGGGTACACATGCCCCTCGACTCACCACAGGGTTACATCCTGAGAAACTCACGTAAGTCAAAACTATCTTAAGTCAAAAATGCATTTAATAACCTGATAAATCCATCATCATGTCAAAAAATTGTTAAGTCACACCATTTTTAATTTTAACTAATCTAAATTTAAGTAGCCTCCTGTGGCTAGTGGCTACCATCTTGGACATCACAGGTTTACAAAAATGGTTATAGACCTGGATGGAAAATGTCACATGCATTCTGTCATTTCTCCTTCTGTGCCTATGCCAGAAACTACTGTTGATCACAGAATTCTCTCCCTCTGAATGTGGGCTGTCTCTCAGGATTCTCCATGCAACCGTTTCCAACTGCCATGACTTGGTGTATAAAACGAGACCTTTCTGTCATTCTCGATACGGCTAAAAGGTGACAAAGGTGAGCTGGAGGAGGAAGTACTTGAGCTGAGCTTCGAAAGATACAGTCAGACAGGTACAGAGGAAAGAATGGGGTTGTCCAAGTAGAGAAGAGTAGGAGCAAAGGAACTGTATGGCACTTGCTGATCCTGGGCAGGGAGAATGCTGGCCACCAGAAGGGAGGATTGTGCTTAGGTGGGGTGGGAGATAAGTAGACAGAAGGAGGATGGGGCTAGGTTAAGACTTTCTCTCAGCCAGGCTGGGCGTGGTGGCTCACGCCTGTAATCCTAGGCTGAGGTGGGAGGATCGCTTGAGCTCAGGAGTGGGAGACCAGCCTGAGCAAGAGTGAGACCCCATCTCTACTAAACATAGAAAAATTAGCCGGGCATGGTGGCGCATGCCTGCAGTCCCAGCTACTCGGGAAGCTGAGACAGGAGGATCGCTTGAGCCAGGGAGTTTAAGGCTGCTGTGATTCTACAATGATACCAGTGCATTCTACCCAGGGCGACAAAGCAAGACACTATCTGAAACAAAAAACAAACAAAAATACACAAAGACTTTCTCTCATGAGCAACAGGAGCCCCTGAAGGTTTCAGCAAGAAAATGATTGAAGGACATGTTTTAGACGACTCGCCTAGCTCGCCTCAGAATAGGTTGTATAACAGACATATACTTTCAGAGAACACCAGAATACTAGTAATGGATTTTGTTTTTCTTTTAGGAAAGTAATACTTGTTTATTATATTAAATGTATAATAAACCACAGAATATTATTATATAAAATGCATAAAGCACAGAAAAACAGATATAAAGAAATACTAAAGCCAGGTGTAGTGTCTCACACTTGTAATCTCAGCACCCTGGGAGGCCAAGACAGAGAATTGCTTGAGGCCAGGAGTTGGAGAGCAGCCTGAGCAACATAGTGAGACCCTGTGTCTGCAATAAATAAAAACCAAAAATAAATTAAAGTCAGACATCTACCATTCAAACCCAACCACTTTTGACATTTTGATGTACTTTCTTCTAGTTCTTATTCTCCTTCCATGGCTACTGCAATAATTAAGAAATAAAGGGCCGGGCGCGGTGGCTCACGCCTGTAATCCTGGCTCTCTGGGAGGCCGAGGCGGGCGGATTGCTCGAGGTCAGGAGTTCGAAACCAGCCTGAGCAAGAGTGAGACCCCGTCTCTACTATAAATAGAAATAAATTAATTGGCCAACTAATATATATAGAAAAAATTAGCCGGGCATGGTGGCACATGCCTGTAGTCCCAGCTACTTGGGAGGCTGAGACAGAAGGATTGTTTGAGCCCAGGAGTTTGAGGTTGCTGTGAGCTAGGCTGACGCCACGGCACTCACTCTAGCCTAAGCAACAAAGCGAGACACTGTCTCAAAAAAAAAAAAAAAAGAAATAAAGTTGTGACTTGGACTAGGAAGGTGGTAGAATGAATTCAGAGGAAACACCACGAAAGGAATGTTTAAATGAGGCAGTGGGGTGGATGGGAAAGATCATTAGCATCAAAGGTCTGAATTCTAGGCCTGGCTATTTTGTTGGACTTCAACCCCTTAAGATACTAGTCTACATCAACCTCTCAACCTTTTTTCATGGGTGTCTAATTAAGGGTCAGATGAGATTTTTTGAGAGCCCCCCACACCCACACCAAGGCCTAAAATGGAACTAAAATGTGTCCAAGGTATATCTACATGTATTTTAAGTGGATACCACATACAGATAGTAGTGGTTACCGTAACATAAAAATATTCTGAGCAGTCCTGTAAGGAGGACCTGCAGTTGTGGATTACAGGACAGGGAACGGGCCATGCAAACAGCAGGACCAGTTTCAGATTGGGCTCCACCATGCAGCCTCCTGTGGCTAGTGGCTACCATCTTGGACATCACAGGTTTACAAGAATGGTTATAGACCTGGATGGAAAATGTCACATGCATTCTGTCATTTCTCCTTCTGTGCCTATGCCAGAAACTACTATTGATCACAGAACTCTCTCCCTCTGAATGTGGGCTGTCTCTCAGCCCACATTCTTCCTAGGAGTCAAAAGATTTTCGAAGCCCAATCCATCTTTGCAGACCATGAGAAAAACAAGAACAAAAACAGCTGTTGGAGAATACAATTGATGCTCGCAGGTAGGAAAGAGCAATACACAGCTGTTCACCAGGCTAGCAAGCAAAACTCTACACCAGGGGCTGTTCGCACTGGATGTACGTTAGACTCAACTGCGGAGCTTTTAAAAAATACCCAAGCCTGGGCTTCCCCTCAGACCAATTAAATCAGAGTCTCACTGAGTGGCAGCTGGCATTTTTAGGCACTGGTATTTTTTTTAAGTTCTCAAAATGATGGAAACTGAAGCACTAGAAGATGCCCCAGAGGAAAAACAGCTCAAGGGACAGAGGAGCAGCGCAAGGTCTACACTGCGCCCTTAGTCCCCCTGGTTAAGAGTTGCAGCGCCTCCCTCAGCAGTGGGAGAACTGGACGCCAACATAGAACCATTTACAATTAAACTGCGTGTAGTTTCTACTTCAGAGTGTAGAGGCTGTCATTTTCGACACATCCTTTGGTCATTTTCACTGAACTGTGAGTTAGAGGACTTCTGGGGCCCTGGCTGGATTATCAATGAATGCGACTTTTTCTGAGGATCCCTCAGCCTTCTAAGGAGCTAGTAGTTAAAAAGTGCAGGCTGTGGCCTCAGACTGACTAGGTGTATCCGCCAGCTGGCATGCCCTGACTGTGTGACCTTGCTAAGTTCCAGGTTCTCCTTTAAACCTGAGTTTCCTCATTTGCAGAAGAGGAATCCTAACACCTTCTTTATAGGGTTATGGTAGAGATTAAATGAGGCTATACAAGTAAAAAAAGACTTTAGGTCGGGCGTGGTGACTCACACCTATAATCCTAGCACTCTGGGAGGCCCAGGTGGGAGGATCACTTGAGCTCAGGAGTTGGAGCCCAGCTTGAGAAAGAGACCCTGTCTCTACTAAACATAGCTGGGAGTGAGTGGCATGCACCTGTAGTCCCAGCTACTGGGGAGGCTGAGGCAGGAGGACTGCTTGAGCCCAGGAGTTTGAGGTTGCTGTGAGCTAGGTTGATGGCATGGCACTCTAGCCTGGGCAACAGAGCAAGACTCTGTATAAAAAAAAAAAAATTAAGAAGAAAAAAGACTTCTCTTGTGCCTGACACATGGCAAATTCTCATTACATGTTAATTATCATAATTATTTTCATCATCACCTCTAGAGTTCCTTCTAACTCCGATATTTTATGATTCTAAGAGTCACTCAGATTGCACAGGTAGAGGTGAACTAAAATCAGGAGGTCCTGACCTGCCCAGATTGAAAGGCCTTGTTTGTGTTCCACACCCTTTCCCTCTGGCCCGGTCTATTTCCATAACCACTTCGTTCTTTCCTTGAGGTGTTCCTTATATTTTGCTGATCTTGTTCCTGAATTCCAAAGGACCTCATTTATTTTGTAGACAGGGAATTTTTGCTGTTCTTGACAAAAGCAATATGGTTGTTCTGTTACTGTTATTTCTTGGCAGCCAATCCCAGCACAGATACCAGTGAGCATGGCTGGAGTGAATGCAGACGTTCCATTTCTGTCTGTCCTTGGTGCAGCAACTGCTGGCACACGTGGGGCGATCTGTTTTAACCAACACACAGCCTCGACGGAGGCGCCGACTCATCATCGCTTTGATGCGTGTCTAATGATGGGTTGGAAGACCTTGTTCTTGGAAACTTCAGGGCTGACATTTGAGTGTCACCCATGAAATTTGCCTTAAGATTCAATGTTGACATTAACCACAGATTTCTGCCTCATAACCTTGGAGCACTCTCTTTCCGTCCCGAGCGTTAAGCAGCGTCCTGCCAAGCATAAAGCCAGCACTGCCTGTTAGTCTGCCAAAAGACACATTCGCCTTGTTGATGCCCGTAGCTTTCTTTTTCTTTCTCTGTGGTAGGAACAAACTTCTTCCTTTTCAGAAGACAGACCACCATTTGTAGGCAACATCCACTTGTCTGCCTGGTTACTGATTGAGGGATGGCTCACACCCACCTCTTTACCTTTTTGGTTTTGAAAAGTCATCAAAGAGTGGGTGGCCAAAGGAATCACTGGATCTATGAAACTTTTGCCCACATGAATGAAATAATTTTTTAAAAGGGTAAATCATCAAGTTTAGAATTAGCCTGAAAACTCTCTGCTCTTATACCCTACAAAAGCCAGTTTTCCCAAACAGTTGTTTGGGAACAGAAAACACACCTCAGCACCAGCCTAGTTATCACAGGAATGCCGTGTGAGGAAGTCACTGTATCTACAGTGCACTACGTATGAGCTGGGCCCAATGACTCTGACACCAAGTCTTGGAAAGTTCTTCCATTTACACCGTGATGGTAATTACACATTTATGTTTATAAGCTGCAAAGGACTACAGGGTTACTTTTGCATAAGCTCTCAATACCAGGAGACCCCATACCTAAATTAACACTGATATTGAATTAGATCAGAGATCAGACGAAAGAAAAGAAAACAGGTCTAGACAAAAGGGTAATGAATTTACTCTCTGGTAAACCTGGATATATATGAGAAAAAGGATCCATTAACTTCTACATTTTTCTGAAATACCATTACATATTTTGAGTTATGATATTCCTTGTTCTAATTCACTCTTGTTTTATTGTTAGTATTTCTTATTAACCAATTATTAATTAAACTCTGATTCTTAAACTCTGCTGGGGGCAAGATGATGTCTGAATTATCTTTGCATCTCTCATGAACTTGCCCCAGTAGCTTTCTTATGGTAGTCCCAGGTAGGTTTGTTAATTTGAGTCAAATTAAACTATAAGCCCTTTTATTCCCGTTTCGTGTAATAAGTTATGTTATACAAAATAAACAGTAACAAGTGATGCATGATGAGAAAACATCTTTCCCACTTTCAAGTGAAGAAGCAGAAAAGTCATTTTTGGAATCTGCCTTTTGGGATTGCCTTGAGCAGCCTGGGATTGCCTTGTGACAGTTCCTTATTAGCAGCTGACTAAACAAAACGAAATCTGTTTCAGCTCAGTTGTTTGACTTTTAGGTGTATTTGTTCTTTTGTAAGTTTCCTTCAGAAGGACCACAGGAGCTGTACAACTCTACAGGGCTCACCTGGAGTCCTGTCTGGGTTAGAGTCTGCCTTCTTGAAACTAAACTATGGGAAGGTCATCTTCTAAAAGGTGTATCTTCTAGTGATTTTTAGAGTTTTTAGGGAAATTTGTTTCTAAGATCTCACTAAATGAGCTACAAATCAGAAATGGGAAGAGCCATTTACCAAAGAAACAATGTCTTACACAGCCCACCTTTTCCTCCTTTTCAGATGTAACTTGCATTTTTTCAACTTGTAGGTCAAACAGTATCCACCTCTTAGTTCAAGTTCTCATCAGGAACTCCGTGACATCTTTCTCAGCTTTCCCCAGCCATCTCCCTCTTCTGGCTCCTGACGCCCCACACTGACAGAGAGGCACACATACTTCCTAGGACCTGAGAAAAATCAGGTGATGACCTGGACATTAACTTTTTAATGGAGAAATGGCCAAACAGTTCACCAGAAGTTCATATTAAAGGTTCAGATTTCTTTATGTCAAGCATGGTCAGTGATTTTCTTTCCTTCTGTATGGTGAAAATTGACCAGTCTCATTTCAGACTGAGTTAAAAATTTCCAAAACAGAAAAAAAAAAAAAAAAAAAAAAGGCCAGTTGCGGTGGCTCACGCCTGTAATCCTAACACTCTGGGAGGCCGAGGCGGGAGGATCGCTTGAGCTCAGGAGTTCAAGACCAGCCTGAGCAAGAGCAAGACCCCGTCTCTACTAAACATGGAAAATTAGCCAGACACAGTGGCGCATGCCTGTAGTCCCAGCTACTCGGGAGGCTGAGGCAGGAGGATCACTTGAGCCCAGGAGTTTGAGGTTGCAGTGAGCTAAGATGACACCACTGCATTCTACCTGAGGCGACAGAGAAAATCTGTGTCAGTATCTCTGAAAATAAAACAGAAAGAAGGTTATATGTCCATTAAAAATATCAGTCTAAGTCTGGTCAGGCCCCTACACTCAGCAGACTTCTCAGAAAATGATCGCATCAAATTTACTCATGACTAAGAAATCAGCAGGCTTCAGATGATCGATTCAGTGTACCGGGGCTCCGCGAGTGGCGCCTGCACACATGCACGCGTGTGAATTTCTCTGTCAGTTCTGGTACCAGCGAAAAAGTGCCCCAGATCAGCAAGATTCTCAATAGAAAAGGTCGACACAGAGCACTAAGGTTTGAAATCTGAGGATCTCACACTGGTCCAAAAGCAGAAGCGGGGTCAAGTAGCTGGCCTCTCTTCTTCCTGTTTAAAGCATCTGCTTTCTGTTTAATCTCGCCTTTCGTCGGAGGAATCACATACCGACTATGCCAATGGGCACCTTTCCCTGCCCCTGTCAAAGAAGTAGAGAAAAAGAAAGTGGACAAATTTGCTTGTGCAAACAACCTCTCCCTAGAGGCTGACGATCTTCCTAGGGGAGGTAGGTAAAGGAGACTTAGAACACAGATTTGGGGAGAATTCAAAGGATTAGCAGGACTTGGGATCCTGCCCTCGGAAATAATGCTGACAGACAAGGTAGGATTTCTGTCTGAACCACAAAAACAAAAACGTCTGAAATCAATCTCTTTAAGGTTTTTATAAAATTCTTCCAGGAAGTTGACGAAGTCCTCATTTTACAAGGGACACTCGTTCATCTGCAGTCACTCTCTCTCCCCACTAGGTTCACGCCATTCCTGGAACCTGTCCGTCATTCCCTCTCCACGCTGGGACCCTCACGCAGGCTGTTTCGAGCTGTCCCTGCCACCTGTCCCAACCTGCTTTGCCTGGTGAACCATTGCTTGTCCTTCAGTGCTCAGTTAAGGCGGCACTTGGACTCCAAGAAACCTTCCCTGATGGTCATCTCCAACCCCAGGTTATGTTGGGTTCCCTTGTTTTGTTTTTATAAGTAATTTCTTAAATTCTTTATTTCTTTTTTCTTTTTTTTTTTTACACTAAGTGATTTAGAAAAATGAGTAACGGTCCTCTTGTTTTAAACTCTCTTAATTCCTCACAATTCTTCCTCAGCCCACTCATCGCTCTTAACTGCCTTGACTACTGGAGTGGCCTGTGGGGACAGAAATCCTTTCTGTCTTAATTATCTCTTAATTATCGAGCACCTAGCACAGAGGGCCTGGCACATAGCAGGTGCTCAGAAAATGCTTCTTAGCTGATTTACCTGTATCTCTACGGATTGCAGGATTAGTGTGCTATCACCTGCGGGGCCTCATACCATGGAGGCTTTGCAAATCCTAAAGTCTGCACAAATCAGGCCCACGTGGCTTGGGGGGCCCTGTCCATTCTGTGGCATTAACTCAGGAGGTGCTACTTTCCCACACATTTAACATGGGTGTGGATCTGGACTCGTTCACAGATAACCAGAAGAACCACTCTGGGGCACTGCGTGGGGTATTTAGGTTGCAAACTCCTACCAGCCAATTGCTGGAGGGGAAGCCTGGATAGGAGTGTCTGGGACCCGTTGCACGAGGGGCTGTCCTGCTATCTCACACAGGCTGTCCTGAGCACCAGCACCCTCTGCTTATGATGTCCTCAGGCTCCTAACCGCAAAGCCATCACTATGAAGGCAACAAAAAATGTAGTTTTTCTTTCAGTATTAGCAATCTAAATTCTTTCCTTGGCAATAAGAGTTCTTATTAAATTGCTATTTATCAGGGAACTATTCATTCCCTACCCTTAAAAATTTAACCCTTTAGCCGGGCGTGGTGGCTCATGCCTGTAATCCTAGCACTTTGGGAGGCCGAGGCGGGCGGATTGCTCAAGGTCAGGAGTTCGAAACCAGCCTGAGCGAGACCCCATCTCTACCAAAAATAGAAATAAATTAATTGACCAACTAAAAATATATATACAAAAAATTAGCCGGGCATGGTGGCGCATGCCTGTAGTCCCAGCTACTTGGGAGGCTGAGGCAGGAGGATTGCTTGAGCCCAGGAGTTTGAGGTTGCTGTGAGCCAGGCTGACGCCACAGCACTCACTCTAGCCTGGGCAACAAAGTGAGACTCTGTCTCAAAAAAAAAAAATTTAACCCTTTAAAAAAAGAAAAAAAAAAGCACTTGTATTCTGTGAAAAATCAGAAGTAGGGAATGCTTAAATGCTGGTCATTTGGGGGTTATTAATGAAATGCTGTATTTCACCAAATCTAAGTCTCTATAAGGTAATCTCAATTTCAGACGTGTTAAATGATGTGTAGAGGGAAGGGAATGCATGCTGGAGCTGATGGCATTTGGTAAACTGGTAACACCACAGGAAGAACTCACCTCCAACTATTTCCATGAAAATCAGTATTAAAAAAAATTTAAGCAAAATCGTCAAATACAGCTCTGTAATTCTTTTTGACTGCGGGAGTCCTCTGGGAACGTTCACACTTACAAATATACAGGGCACTCTGGCCTGGCAAATTAGGCTAACACGAAAACAACACGTTTGTAAAAAGGAAAAGGGGGGACTAGCATTGGATGTCATAATACCATGTTCACCTACTTTTTTCCACCCCTGGGTTATGCTCCGGCCATGGCGAGGAGGGCGCCTCCGCAGGGAGCCACGGCATTGTTGGTGGCTGCTGGGTGCTCTGGCGCAAGGGCCCTGCTAATGCCTCTGCCACCTGGACTGTGAAATGGGTGAGATGGCACTGCTGTCCCAGAGACAGGTAACGAGGAATCCGCAGTGAGTGACCACTACATGCAATGGAGGCGGAAGGGAAAGAAGAGGAAGTAGGGTGTTTTGCGACCATCACACGTCTTTGTGTGCAGATGGAAGTCTAAGGGAAGCCACATAACCGAGCAGTACAGGAAATTTTCTCTGGCCCACATATACGTGGAGGAAATAGGGCACATCATTCTGCCAGCTCTGCAAGGCTATTCAGTTTCACATTAGTTAAATAAAGGACAAGGAGAGAAGAGGAAAATGCACAAAGAGGCGGAGTAGCAGGAAGAGGAAACTCACACGTTTGAGCAGGTTGCTCGGAGTCGGCTTGCTGCTTGCTGGCCGGGCGACCCTGGGCATCTTACTTGATCTTTCTGAGCATCTGAGCTTTTTCCACCTAATATGGGCCTGATGTTACCCAATTATCAGAGATATTGTGACAACAGACATAGGTATAAAGTTCCTAGGGCCTGGCACCAAGAAAACGGTCAATGAAGGGCAGCTATGATTACCATATTCATTTAAAATTCTTTCTGCAGAGGTACCTTAAATAGTGATCTTTTAGGGTAAATTGCCAAGCACTCAAAATCATTTAAAGCATTGTGAATTGTTGGTGTTGTAAATGTTTCTTTACCTTCGAGAGCCCTTTACAGGTGGCTTATCTGCCTATACATAAGTAATATTCCCTAACTATTCAGCTTTATATTTAAGTAAATGGTTTTTGATAAGCTTGGTTCTGTACAGCAGATTTTATTATACTATTACTCCACCAAGAATAAATTAAGCTGTGACAACTGTCTCATTCCCACCATCCCTTCTAAGAAAGACTGCAACCTACCTCTTGGGTAAGAAAATTCTGAGTTACGCTAACTTCTGCAGTCCAATTCAGTAATCATTTGTTCCAAAGTTCTTCCCAACACTACAGCCAAATTAACTAAGGTTGAGCTTTTGATTAACATACAGGCTGGAAGGAACTTTGACCTACAGAAACTTGGCATTTGACTTGCTTCTTTGAGTCCAACCTGTGTCATGAGTGCCTGTTTCAAGAGTAATAAAGGACCTGGCTGTTTGCTTATAGCAAATGGAAGTGGTGCCATGTCACTGCACAGCTTTTACCTCTGCTGTCCACCGAACCCTTTTGGAAGGAAGGCTTGTAGCCCACGTGTCTGTTTTTGAAGCAAACAGAATGAAAGAGTATATATTTTCAAACTGAAAAGCACCTAAGTTCTACCTGGCATTTTGACTACATGTCAGTTGTTTAAGAAACAGGAATATGGCCCAGGATCAAAGCGAGCACGGTGGCGATCAGGTGTTTTAGCAGCTGCACATATGGTCACCCAGATTCTGCCTCAGTGAGCACACTGTTCTGACAGTGCCTGGGTTCCCTTTTATTAACATGTTACAAAGCAGGAATCAGATGCAAAGAAGAGATCCCCACACTGGAGAGTTCATGTCCTTTCCAGTTATAGGGTCGATAGTGTCCTCCCCCAAATTAATAAATTGAAGCCCTAACCCCCATTACCTCAGAATGTGACTGTATTTGAGATAAGGTCTTTAAAGGGGTAATTATGGTCAAATGAGGTCGTTGGGGTGGGCCTTACGCTGATATGATTAGTGTCAAGGGTAGGAAGAGATTGGTTCACAAGACAATACAGACGTAGGATGACCATGTGAGGACACAGCAAGAAGGCGGCCATCTGCAAGCCAAACAGAAAGGCCTCCTGGGAAACCAAACCTGCTGACACCTTGATCTTGGACTTTCAGTCGCTCCAACTGTGAGAATGTTCTGTTATCGAAGCCACCCAGTCTGTGGCATTTTGTTATGGCAGCCAGAGCAAACAAATGCATCGCCCCCTCCCCCATACCCCTGACCTTATGTCCCATGACCGGGTGGATACGAATGAGTGACGTGATGCAGGCTAAGTGCACGATCATAGGAGTGTCGTGGACACTGCTAAGCGGGAGAGTGCCGCATCTACTGGCTCACTGCTGTGCCTACAGGCATCGAACTCACAAGTGGCCAAGGCTTGATTACGCTGGTAGCCCTTCAGTTTGCAATCATCAGGCTAAACCATCACAGTTTAACATTTTAAAACATCCACTATTCGTGTTTTCAGTAAATATGAACGGAACACCTACTCCACGCCAGGCCCTGTGCCAGGTTCTGGCAATGGCAGTGGTGAATGAAATGTCTGTCCTCGGCCTTCATGGCACATACAGTCTAGAGAGGGAGTCGGGAACTGAGCTAGACTAGAAATGCCAAGGTGAAAAACAAAGTCACTGCCAGGAGGGTGCAGATTAATGGGGGCAGGGTTGGAATGAGACCGTTATAAAACAATGTGACACTGGCTGTAATACACCAGGGGCACTGGAAACTGGGGAGGGGGTGATCCCACGTCTGCCTGGGCTAACCAAGGCAGATGTGAGCCCAGTCCTGAAGGATGAGTTACAGTTCTCCCTGCAGACAGGGATGAAGGATGAGAGAGCATTTTCCAGACAGAACAGTCACTTCCTGGGTTCAGGGACACAAGCAAACACAGCATCTTTGGAGAATGACAATGAATTGGGCACAGCCAGTCTGAGAATGGGCAGTGGAGAGCAACAGGATACAAGGCTGATAAGGCAAGGGACCAGGAGCTCACATTGCACGAGGAGCCATTAAGAGTTTTAATCCAAAAGGTGACATTACCACAACTGCATGTTAGAGAGATCACTCTGACCACAATGTAGAGGAGGGTTAAAGGCAGGGCGACCTGTGAGGAGGAGACGAAGGCAGGACCCAGGGAAACAGACACAGCGATGCTTGGTGCTCAAGGCCAGGAGTGCAGGACTGGAACTGTCACGCTGTCGGGCCATGGACACCACCACCCAAGGGTATATGTGCAGAAAGAGAAGCACTGGCTTTTTAACCTGGGTACTACTTTGATCAATGAGATGTATTTCGTAAGAAACTTAATTTCACTTGCCTTCATTTCCCATCAGGAAACTCGCCTCACTCATTCCTTTTATCAACCAAAGCCACGTGTGACGGTACCTTGGTTTCCTGATATTTTCCTCAGTCTATAAATATGGACAAAATTAGAACTTCCCTCACGGGGAGGATTCCTTGAGTTAAATAATACAAGCACTTAAGAGTGATAAATGTTAATTAAAGCAGAAATAAACATTAAAGAACAAATGGGAAATTAAGGATCATGCAAAAATGACAGTTCTCTCGCTTACTATGAGCCAGATTAAAACCACACCACAGCCACAAAGGTTAAAATCTACATAATTGTCTTGCAAGGGAGCTGGGTGTGATTTCTTCAGATCTCTCCAGAATTCTCACACGGCCTCCTATAAAGGGCCACATTATTTATGTATAACCATTACTTTAAATTTATAAAATGCCCTTTTTCCGGTAAAATGTGTTCAAGTATTCAAGATTCAAGGGGAGGCCGGGCGCTGTGGCTCACGCCTGTAATCCTAGCTCTTGGGAGGCCGAGGCAGGTGGATTGCTCAAGGTCAGGAGTTCAAAACCAGCCTGAGCAAGAGCGAGACCCCGTCTTTAAAAAATTAAAAAAAAAAAAAAAAAAAAAGATTCAAGGGGATGTGGTGAGACTGACTGCAGGGGCCTGAGAACTTTCCAGAGAGATGAAAATTTCTCTCTCTCTCTCTTTTTTTTTTTCTGAGACAGAGTCTCACTCTGTTGCCTGGGCTAGAGTGCCGTGGTATCAGCCTAGCTCACAGCAACCTCAAACTCCTGGGCGCAAGCAATCTTCCTGCCTCAGCCTCCTGAGTAGCTGGGACTACAAGCATGCACCACCATGCTCGGCTAATTTTTTTATGTATTTTCAGTTGTCCAGCTAATTTCTATCTATTTTTAGTAGAGATGGGGGTCTCGCTCTTGCTCAGGCTGGTCTTAAACTCCTGAGCTCAAAACAATTCACCTGCCTCGACCTCCCAGAGTGCTAGGATTACAGCCGTGAGCCACTGCACCTGGCCAGAAAACCTCTCTCTTGATCAGGGCAGTGGTTCCATGGTTGTATACATTTGTTAAAAGTCGTCACTTAAAATGTGTGATGTTTATTATACATAATTTGTACCTCAATATAGATTGAAGGAAAGGAAGATGGAGGAATAGGAGATTCAAGGGGAGATGGATATGTATTTATATTACAAAGAGAAGGCAAAAATAGATTTGTGTGAAAGAACTTAAAATTTTAATTTCCAAAATTATTATCCTTTCTGTGAATGGATGAACCTGGCTAGGAATGAAAAAAAGCTTTGCTTATGTAAGAAACATTTTGAAATGTCTTTCCCCTCATTATCCTCTGGCTAAAGAACAGTACTTTTCTACCCATAGGTTCACCAGACGAGCTACCCTCTTGTGGTTTTGCTATATTCCCTGAGCACAAGAGTGGGCAGTCACTAGGCCGCGTAGGCAGCAAGCCCAGAATACTTGTCGAAGTGACTGAGAGTGAGTGACCCGACAACCTGCTACACGCTGGAGAACACACGCATCATTATGGGCTTAGGTCACCGTGTTAAATAACTAAGAAAATAGGGCTGCCAGAAAATATATAAGGTTTGAGGCTGACATAGTCCAGAGACGATTTAATCTCAATTTACATTGCTGCTTCATTTTAATGTACTTTAGTACACACTTTCACTTTTGCAATGCAAAATCAGCCTTATCAGAAGCAAGCATGTCTCAAACCAGGTCAGTGCAAAGAAAGCAGAACTGCAAGTTCCAATTCTACCACCTGTGAATATATTCCATATTCCCAAGATACCTTTGTACAAAGAAAGAAAACAAAATCAATCAAATAGTACCCGACATTGTTTTTATTAGCATTAGCATGCGGAATCCAGGTGTCTAATAAAACATTAAGGATTCGTTTAAGAAAGAAAGGGACAGAGGGGGAAAAGAAAGAAGTAGACAAGAAGGAAAGAAATAAGGGAGGGAGGATCAAATAGCATATTTTTTCAAACATTGCACTAAAAAAAAGAACATAGGGACAAAAGCACTGACTCAAAAAATGGCAAAGTTCTCTTTAGAAAGCAATCCATATTCCTATAAGATCATTTTTAAAAGAAAAATACAGAGCCTTTAAAAGATAAGACTATAGCTGGAAATAGATGCTGTATTTCAACTGCTGAGACATTAGAAATTCATCTAGTCCAGATCCAGTAGTATCAGGCTGGGCTAAATTAACTTGCACCTAGTTAGACTCATTCTTGATAAACGGCTGCTGAATCCATATTCTAGCAGATCCATCTCTTTTTAAATCCAGTCACCTCACTTCCCTTCCCAAACCCTCCAGTGGCCTCTCCTCATGCTTGGAATAAAATCCGAAGTCCTTCTTGAGGTTCCCTCTCCGGAGCCTGTACCACTCGCCGGGCCCCACTTTGTTCCTGCCTCCTCCCACAGCCTCGCAGTTCTGGCCACGACACTGCCTTCTGGCTGTTTCTTCAAAACGCCAGCTCATTCCCTCCTCCCCGCCTTAGCACCTGCTGTGGCCTCCACCTGGAACTTCCATTCCCAGCCTTATCCTGCCCTCTTCTCCTCTCTGCCCTCAGCTGTCTACCTGACTGGATTCGGGTCTTGCTCAAAATGTCAACTTCTCCAAGAAGTTTTCCCTGACTGTTCTTTTAAAAGAATCCTCCAATCACCAGCCTTGTATTCTTTCTCCTCTTCCCTAGCTTTTTCTTCTTTGCCCTTATTAGTAACAGAAATTGCACTACTTACTCATTTTTATCATTTTTAGTATCTATCTGCCCCACTGAAACATGAGCTCCGTGAGAAGGAACTCTTTCTGCTCTTCACCAAGAAACCCCCAGCTCCTAAAGCAGAGCCTGGCACTAGACAATATTTAAGAAATAAAATGCCCCTGCTTGGAGAGATGATAAGCCCTTCATCAAACCCGTCCCCACATCATCACTGTCAACAAGCCCTTCCTCAGGTCTACCTCAAGTCCCTCTTGCTGCAATAGAAGCCCATGGCCTTTACTTGAATCCCAGAGTGATGAACAGTGGTTGACCAACACCTTTGTTAAGTAATTCTTTAAGATCACAGACTTTTGAAGGTAGACTTCAGCCTCAGTTGTAACCTACTCCCGCCCTTTTGTTCTGAAGCTGCACAGGTGCTGAGAGGTTACCTGGGTTCTCCAGCCTTATTCGGAAATGGTGGACATCAGCAGACCTGGGACAACTTAAAAGTGCACACTGCCTTAGTCATGGGCATGACTCCAGGACCCGGCACGGTGCCTGGCACAAAGAATGAGCTCAGCAGAATTGCACCCGAGGCACCAATGCCCTCAATCCCACTCTAAGTGTTCATTCCACTGAACTGTACTTCCTCTCATTACTGTCCCCAAATAATTTCCTCTCCGAGAACCATTTCCAGTCACTCGAGTCATATGTCATTACTTCCTGTCTTCTAACTTAACTGACATGTGAGTTGTATTTAACTCATGCTAGTTTTGTGCCTGGGCCTCATGAAGCTTATGCAAGTCACATCCCTTCACTTTGGGAGCCTTGAGAACTTTTTCCAGCTGCGTATAACTGACGCACAGAAAACAATAAAAAATAACAAATGTTTCATTAAATTAGAAAGGATAATTTTGTTTTCAAAGTTTTTATTCTGTTTTCATAATAGAAAATGTGGTTGCCCCCACAAAATATTTTTTTTTCTAGTGAGGTAGTCAATGTGTTAAAGTGCAGTCTGACAACATGCCAGGCACAACAGTGTGTCTCGGGTCTGGTTTGATTCTAACATAATTCAAATAGCCCAGCATGGAAAATACCTAAGAACAAAGTGGGCTATGCAAAGCACACTTAAAAAATAAAAACACAAAGCAGGCAGACCGGCCACAGGTGCCCCACATGCAGGCAGATGTCCTGTCTGGTTCCGAACTGTATTCCTGAAGCGCCCAGCAGTGTGCCCGGCACACAGTCAAGCCCTATTTGCAGGGAGGGAGCAGAGCAGAAAAACGACACTGTAGATTCAGTTCACACCCAGTCAACACTGGCCTCATCATAACAGATAAGTTTACTTTATAAAAGGTCACATTTGCATGGTTCCTTCTGTTCTCAACATTTTATGTATATTATCTCATCGAATTCTCCCAAGACATACACCTCACCTGTAAGAGAGATGCTACAACTCTGAAAACCCAAGTATTTTTTAGAAACAATTTAGCAGGCCGGGCGCGGTGGCTCACACCTGTAATCTTGGCACTCTGGGAGGCTGAGGTGGGAGGATGGATCAAGGTCAGGAGTTCAAGACCAGCATAAGCAAGAGTGAAACCCTGTTTCTGCTAAAACATAGAAAGAAATTAGCTGGACAATTAAAAATATATAAAAAAAAAATTAGCCAGGCATGGTGGCGCATGCCTGCAGTCCTAGCTACTCGGGAGGCTGAGGCAGCAGGATTGCTTGAGCCCAGGAGCTTGAGGTTGCTGTGAGCTAGGTTGATGCCACGGCACTCTAGCCTGGGCAACAGAGTGAGACTCTGTCTCAAAAGAAAAGAAAAGAAATGTATGCTGACTGTGAAAAATTCAGAGAGTAAAAAAGCTAAGGACATTTAAAATTAAAAAACAAAATTTACCAGCAAAATCTGATTCTCTAGTCTCTAATGAAACTCTCTTCAGATTTCATTTCTTCCAGCAAGTCTGAGCATTCGTAAGCTTTGCCGAAGAAAAAGCGACACATCTGATTGTGGAAGGCTGCCCAAGACTACTCTCAATGCAGGGTATGTGCAACTTATTATCTTTCTAAAATCTGAAATATTTGGGGATTCTAAAACACATCTGATACAAAGGGTTTCAGACGAGGGTGTCTCCGGTGTACATCAACGTGGAAAAGTAACTTGTCTACGTCACACACCTAGTAAGTGGCGAAGCCAGGACTGTGCTCCGGGGTCTGATCTGCAGCCCTCGCCACGGACGACACCAGCATGCTGCCTCTCTGCCGGCTACACGGTGCAATCTGAAGTCCAATGACTGCCTCGACTGTTTTTCTGATGTGGCTCCAGGAAACAGGATTCAGCAAGGCGGACAGCTGGAGCGGCCTTGTGTGGCCACCTACGAAGACCGGATTCAGGCTGGCAATGGAGCGGCTGAGCCTGTGCTTTGGCACGTGGCTCCGACCCTGTGCTCACAGCCCATACCTGGACAGAGAGCAGCCAAGTCTTTGGTGATCAAACCATCACCTCCCAGAGTTTCCACAGGAGCCGCTGGGAAGCATCAGGGCAGCTCTGCTAGGGATCTGGAATGATCTTTCCACATGTTTTTAGAATCACACTGTGCAGGGGATGGGAAAGCTGAGGGCGGGTGTGAGCACGAGGTGTGCAGGACTGCCCGTGGGGCAGTGGGTGCTCAGCACAAAGTGCCTTTTCCTAATGTCCAGAATGTAGAACTATGAGTTGTGTTTCAGCTCCTACTTTTATTCCTTAAATTAACTGTTTCTAGAAACAAAAGATGCCACTTCATTTGGGTCAGCAGTGTTCTTACCTCACCAAGTACGTGGGATTACCTTCCTTCTTCTGATCTCAGTCTCCTCCTCAGAGAAGCCTTCCTCACCCCAAATTAGATGTTTCCCTCCTTTTAATCTCACTCACTATTTTTTTTTTTGAGACAGAGTCTCGCTTTGTCGCCCAGGCTAGAGTGAGTGCCGTGGCGTCAGCCTAGCTCACAGCAACCTCAAACTCCTGGGCTCAAGCAATCCTGCTGCCTCAGCCTCCCGAGTAGCTGGACTACAGGCATGCGCCACCATGCCCGGCTAGTTTTTTCTGTATATATTAGTTGGCCAATTAATTTCTTTCTATTTATAGTAGAGACGGGGTCTCGCTCTTGCTCAGGCTGGTTTCAAACTCCTGACCTCGAGCAATCCGCCCGCCTCAGCCTCCCAGAATGCTAGGAATATTCTCACTCACTCTTGCTATAAGCTTTCCCTTATAGAACTCATCATGGGTTGTGATTAAACACATGTGGCTTTATTGGTTCGCTGTCTCTGACTGCCCCCAGCAGACCGTAATCTCCATGAAGACAGGACTTGTCCATTTGCTCACCTCTGTGCCCTGAGCATGGAGCCCAGCACCTGACACATCCTAGTAGCTCAGTAAGTATTTGTGGAATGAATGAATGAGTCTAGAATTTCACAATTAAAAAGCAGGGGTTGGAGCTTCCCCCGGAGAGAGGCGCTCTAGAGTTTGAGGTGTAGGGCCACCAGGAGGTGTCCGGGTCCTGCTTCCAAACGCGTCTGCAACTTGAAATGTCTCGCCCTTCACTCCAAGCTAAGCCCTCCAACCCTGAGTCTTCTTTGACATGGACTTCGGAGGGGAGTGAGCTGGTCAAATTGTCTTAGACTGGTTTGCAGATGTTGTACCCAAAAGTGCAGAAAATTTTCGTGCAATGTGTACAGGAGAAAAAGGCATGGACTCATAGCTGGGAAATCCCTCCATTTCAAAGGATGCCCTTTCCATTGGATTATTAAGAAATTTATGATTCAAGGTAGAGACTTCTCAAATCAGAATGGAACACGTGGAGAAAGTATTTATGGTGAAAAATTTGAAGATGAAAATTTCCATTATAAGCATGATTGAGAGGATTTATTGAGCATGGCAAATGCAGGCTGAAATACAAATGATTCTCAGTTCTTTATCACAACAGTTCCAACTCCTCATTTGGATGGGAAACGTGGTGTTTGGCCAAGTAATTAAAGGAATAGGTGTGGCAAGGATACTAGAAAATGTAGTGAAAGGTGAAAAACCTCTCAAATTGTGCATTATTGCATAATGTGGATAATTGAAGGAAGGGGATGATTGGGGAATAGTCCCAAAAGATGGTTCTGGCAACAGTCATCCAGATTTTCCTGAGGATGTGGATATTGATTTAAAAGATGTAGATAAAATTTTATTAATGGTGGAAGACTTAAAAAACATTGGAAATAATTTTTTCAAGTCCCAGAACTGGGAGATGGCCATTAAAAAATATACAAAAGTTTTAAGATATGTGACTGGTTCAAAGGCTGTTACTGAGAAAATAGAGAGCTCTAAGCTCCAGCCACAGCTTTAAGCTGTGCACTGAACATCGGTGCTTGTAAACTGAAGATGCCAAATTGGCAGGGAGCAACTGACAGCTGTTTGGAGGCCCTTGAAATAGACCCATCAGATACCACAGCTCTGTGCCACAGAGCTCAAGGACGGCAAGGATTAAAAGAATATGATCAAGCTTGGCTCAGGAGATAGTACCAGAAGATAAAGCTACCCAGGCAGAGTTGCTGAAAGTCAAACAGAAGATAAAGGCACAGAAAGATAAAGAGAAGGCTTGCAAAGATGTTTGCTTAATAATAGGATTCAGTTTTGCTTAAATACTATGTGTTGATTGTATAAAGGCAATAAGGAAATGTAAGGGTTTTTGTCTATTATATATGATCCCTAATGTATTTCCTTTGACACCTCAGTTCCCCATTGTTTACAGTTTAGAAGTACTAATGGGGGTTTGCTGTTAATTAAAGTGTTTCAATACAAAAATAAACAACAAAAAACACAGGGTTGGCCAGCACTTCCCAGCAGACACACACAGGCCTTCTCCACCTCTGAATTATGAAATCGTCACTGCCTGGCTAATCCTGCTTGGCAATTCTTCATATGCTGCCCAGTGACCTGTTATCTCTACAGTTTAGGATTGTTGCCCGGCTTTATTATTCTTATTTAACTTTTACCCTGGTTAGATCTTGTCTTCCCGACCAGATTATAAATACACTGAATATAAATTATTAATGTACCGTCTTGAACTTCTGAGAGCTCCCATAGTGGTGTTTTTTTACACCTACCCTTTTTATATCATTTAATGCTTAAAACTGGTATTACTATTCTTGGTTTTTACAGATGGAGAAACTGAGGCTCAGAGAAATTAAGTGACTCGCAGTTCCTACAAGTTGGAATTTGAATTCAGACATGCTCCTGCTCTTCCCCACTTCTGATGGAGGGGTCTCAACACAGGTTTAGAAATCACTTTTCCTCCCTGTGAACTTTGGGTCTTTCAACTGTTCTGTCTTATGCTACATTGGATTCTATGGTTTGTTATGTGTAGACATTCATTTATTCAATCATTTGTTCTAAGAAATATTTATGAGGCCTTTGCTATGTGCCGCTCACTGTGCTGGTCACTGGGGTGAGCAGAGCAGACCCAGACTGTATCTTACCCATATGACACGGCATAAAATACTGTCATTACAGAGACACCATTTTTCTCTCGGTAATGGCTGTTTCTTTAGAGCCTACCTAACCAAACCAGACTGTGTTCTGGGAAAGCAGGGCCTTGGCCTCTACGTCTGGCGCAAAAACAAAAGGGCCTAATAAATATTTTTCAAGTGAGTCTAACATGAAATCAGATTGTGTCTCCTAAAACAACTACAGGTTGCAAATACAGAATATAGTATGGGTAGCCCATAATGTGGGTGTTATTTGTTACAACAACAAAGCAAATTACGTGGGTATCGCTGCAGAAGCCATAGGCTGTGTTTTCTCCCTAAAGCGCCAACGTGCAGGATAACGACAAATGAGAAAGTCTGAAGCAAACATGGAGATTTTATCTAAAGTTTTTTAAAAATAAGACTGCCAAGGAAGAAAAACTGCGGTGTTTACATATAAAATACAGATTCTATCTTTGCTCCTATGAGTGACCAACACCAGGGTAGAGAAAACCTTGATTCAGCAAAGTTCTTTTGAGTTTCATGAAATAGCCCTGCCCCTCCTATCCTTTAAGGCTCCACCCAAATCAGGAAGACTTCCAGTGGCGCAAAACTAGGGTTACTGTTGTTTTTGCTAAGTCAGGCCCTTTATGATAGAGTAGAAAGAACACTTGTTCCTGATTTCTCAATTTTTGATTCCTGCGGGCAGCACAAAATAGGTCCCGGCCTTGACTCTGAAGCACAACAAACCACAAATGAAAGAGATAACTCCGTATTCCTTCAAATCTGTAAGTTTCAAGCAGTTTCTAATGTTTACCTTTTAAAAAAATCTTTTTGGTCAAATTACTGGATAGCTATTAGATAGATTAGCAAGTAGGTCTGAGAGTGATTCACCCATAACCATGCACTCAATTTCACATCACCCTCTTTTCATTCTTCCGTCCAACCTCCAAGAGGCACCACAGCTAAACACCAGAGCAGCAGCCTAGACACTGTTGCCAAACAGCCTGACTACTCAGAGTTCTCACAATGGTCAGGAATTTCCTAACACAGCCAGGGTCGCTGACAGTTAAAGGTTTTCCCAGCATCATCTGCAAAATCTGAACCCACTCCATGAAAAGTGCAGAAACCCCCTGAAATGCTTTCAGCACTTAGTAAGGTCAGACTTTAAAATACAAGAACCTGGAGATGCTCAGCTGTGGTACTTTCCCAAGGCGCAAATGTTTCGGAGGAGTGAGAATGTGTATGGCCCAGAACTTTCTTGTCACTCTCAGATGACCAAGAGAATTCAAAGCATACTTACCAGGTTTAAGTAAACAAAAAAATCAGCTCACAATACAACCAATTCCTCAGATAGAATGACAATACCCAGGCTCCCCCCTCCTCCGAATGCTGGTCTCTGGTCACTTGCAAGCCCAGGCAGCCAGGTGTCCTGCCCTGGCTCCACCCTGCCTACTCATGAATCTGATGTCTTCATATATTCTCTGTGTTGTATTTCCCTACGTCATCTTTGCTGACCAACGTAACAAATCAACAGTTGTTGCTGTTCCCTTTTCTTTCATTATTTGCCACATTGTTAGCACTGGCTGTTTTATTCTTCCCAACAATCGAGGAAGGTAGGAACTGTTAAACTCATTTTCAGTGAAGGAAACTGAGGCCCAGAGAGATTGTCTTTTTAAAAATCTTGTAAGAGGCAGACTGGGATTTAAACCTTGGTCTTTATTGCATTACTTCATTGTCTTAATTATTCCATTCCTTCCACAAGGAGATCAGAAATCTCTGCCCTTCCTTCACTTATTTATTCATTCAGCCAATCAGTTAACATTCATTAGAGGTCTATAATTTGTGGTCGTCTCAATGATTTGAAATCTGTTTCTTCCACTTTACAATACACCACATTTCATATTTTAATATTTCTCAAATAAGTCATGTGTATATTTACTCACTTTAAAAGCTATCATTAAATCAACCGCAAGTTTTACAATCAGTACAGTAAGATCACAATCCAGGGAACAAACCCCTTGAGAGATAATCTGCAGGATCCACTAGATTTAAAGATATGCAAAGTCAACAAATAGAAAGAGACCACCTGGTCTGCCTGGCTCCAAGAACGCAGGAGGGATGGGTGATCAGGCTGTAGCATTTACATGATCAAAGAAAAATGTGG